ACGCATCCAGTGAATAAGTATAGGGAGGAACGTCTTCGCTAATACTGACGCATCCAGTGAATAAGTATAGGGAGGAACGTCTTCGCTAATACTGACGCATCCAGTGAATAAGTATAGGGAGGAACGTCTTCGCTAATACTGACGCATCCAGTGAATAAGTATAGGGAGGAACGTCTTCGCTAACAGCCTTGAGAATGCCTTGGCCTATTTTCTTTAAATTTATCTATGTTTGTACAGCTGCTAAAATCGCTGGGGAATATTGTTAAAATACTCACTTGATACGAATTTGTAATTAGCTCAAATTATGATGGATATTATTTAAGCAAGCTATGTAAAATCCTAAATGCCCCCCACCCCCACCAATAAAGGCAATACAGACGAAAAATAATAAAACTCTATCGTCTATATTGTGAGATTGGGTATACTGATATTTTTAGAAAACTTTTATTTAAAAAAGTAAGTGTCGTACAGAAATTTGATTTTTTTTCCTTTTGCTAATTCTAAAGAGTTAAACACCGTAAATAAAAACCTTTATTAGGTTAAAGCCTTTTGGGATTAAATAGGCTTATCTGCATGCAAAAATTAATAGTGTGTTCAAGAGCAGTACTGGTTAAAAATTGAAAGTGTACTTTCTGATGAATTTGTGCTGCACATAGAAAGGTTTGTACGTCTATAGAATCCATAAATATAAAACAAAAATTACTCCTGTGAAGATAGACATCTGATTTACACCAAGAAAAGGTGGCACCAGCGAATATTTGTTTGCTTGTAGTTATGCACAAAGCTACACAATGGGCTATCTGTGCTCTGCAGTGTGTTGTGTGGAATTTGGATTGGGGGTATGGGCTTTACTCAATTGGCGTGGAAACTAGTGTGAATTCGGCCACGCCGGTGGGCAGTTCAGATGTCCAATATCGTAAAAAATTTATAATCTATATTCAACATTTAAAAGAAAAAACATAATAAAGGTTTTGTTTGGAAAAGGCCTAGCGTTGTCATTGCTTTTCCGTTTTGCCATTAGCGAAACACTTTGACGGAACACACACTTTACGAGTTATTTATTAAGTTGTATCTTCAATACAATGCCCTTTTTTAACTCTCTGAATGTTGATCATATTCTGTTAATGATGTATATATATAGCTGTCTACGTTTGGTATAACTTTAAGTGAAACTCGCATTATTAGACTTTTTTTGTTAAAGATAAAAATATTTTAGATAAATGTGGCGCTTATTTTTTACAAGTTATTTAGGTGCTATAGACGCAATAGAACAAGTTATCCCTTAGTCCAAAAAAGATCATATGAATTATTACTTTTAGTACAGAGATTCAGTACCGGCTGCGAAAGCACTATTTTTTACACATCTGCAACTTAACAAAGCTCCAACTAGTAAAAAAAAGCACAGTATGGAAGGGCATGTTTCAAACAGACAATGCATCATCTTAAAGTAACAAATACGTATGATGTATTGGCCATTACATTTCATCTGTGTAAGCAAAGCTTAGATTTATTATACCGACACGATGAAAACATAGAGGTCTAAACAGAAGTATACAGAAGTCGTTTTTAGAAGGTGTGTTTAATCCTTCGTTTTCAGCACATATAATGTTTTTTATACAATGTCGATAATGAACAGATTATTTTTGTTTACTGAATCTCGTTCGTGATTGTGAAGATCGTCAGTGATGGAATTGTATTTTATTCTTTTGTGGGAAGTGTTCAAACATTTTTGAATTATGTCGATGTAATCAATAACTAACGCATGAGTTTTATAAATTTATTAACCAGACAACATACTGTCCGTAAAACTGGAATGACCCTCTATCTCAAAACACAATTCCATCAATAACACCAATGGGCTAACGGGATGAGTAAAACATGGGCAACAATTAATACCGTACTTAAGTTATGATCACCGTCAGTGCGAGAAAACACAGCAGTGTAAGCATACAGAAAACCCTGAAAATAAGGTTTATTATCAGTTTTAGTGATCCTCAATGGACGATTCACGATTCACATCAAATTCTAGAAAGCACGATTCGTGATCCGCACTAGGATCAGATATTCCAAAAGTAAGAAAAAATGTATTCCCTGAGATACTCAGATCCAGCCCTTATGGTCATAATCTGAAGTGGTCACTGTGGAAAATGATTGGTGAGCACTATGATAAACCTTTGAAATACTTGGCTATGGATTTGTGTGGAATTAGCTTAACATTTTGCTAGTCCATATATTTGGGTATTGTTTCAATGCAAGTACGACAGAAAGGAGAGTCTGTAACCTCGTGGTTAAAGTGAAAAATATATATAACGCTGTAGTTTAGTCCAGAAGCACAGTGTCGATTTCAAAATACTAGTTCTTATTAAAATACAATAACATGTGCCATTTGCATGTGTGTGACCATGTAAAATATTTTTCCCAGCTGGTTTCTTAGCTTTAAATATGTGTTACTTTACTAGTTTTAGAGTCTTGATTGGGCCGGGTGTGACCTACGATTAATATGTTCGAGAAGTGATGCCGCTGAACATGCTCCGAACTTTTAGTTATGAACGCTTTATAAGAGTGACAGTCAATTCCTTTATTCGACTGAGACATCTTATGGCGGTGGGTTCTGCTTCCCCCAGGACAGCTAAATTTGAATCCTAATGATCTCTGGGGTGGTCGCTTAGCCCAGTGGTTCCCAAACTCTTTTTGTCTGAGGCTCCCTTGATGTGAATAAAAAACGGTTTGAGGCCCCCCAACCTATAAAAATGCCTTAAAATGTGATTTTAAAATGCCCCCCACTACTTTAGCGTGGTGACTGAAAAACAGTGCTATAGGAAAAACAATAACATCTACTTTCAATATACTGTATCACTTAATTAATTCAACATAATTTTTATCGGATTATTGTTTTTTTTAGAATTAAAATTAATTCAACATCTTTGTGTTCGGCCCATTTTTAGGCGACCCCACAGAAAAGGCTTCACGGCTCCCTCTTTGGGAAACACTGGCTTAGCCCATATAAGCATAAAGAGCAGATCGGGTTGAGAATGTGAATAATCGAAATTTATCGCGTCAGAGTGTTTTTCAGCGATAGATATGTGCTAAAACATTCTTTACAACCATATGTTTTAATAATTTAGTAAATATTTAGTAAACAGTTTCTTCTCATTGTCATAGATCTACAGGGAGGGCCTCTAAACTGCACGAATAAATACAAAATTCTTTGACCCAAATAAGTCTCTTATTGCAACTTATACAATTGTCCGATGTGCAATATTTTCTACTGATGAAGAGCAAGAAACTAAACTAAACTAAGTGGTGTGCTTTGTTTCTAAAAATGCCTATTGTACAAATGCTAAAACTGATTTCCGTCATCGCTTTGTGAATATGAAATGGCGATTTGACAGCGAGATACACATGTCACTGTAAAAATCACAAAACTTGATAAATAAATAAATGAAGTTAGTATTCCGAAAATTGTTTAATCTCGAAGTCTAAGTTCGAGGAAGGTCCCGTTCAATCTACACCAAGATCAACGTGTGTTACTGGGTTATACTAGTTTCGGAAAATTCTAGTCCTCATCAGTAACCCTGAACACAAGTTAACCAAAGAGGGATAAGCTGTTTGGTCACAGAACTTGTTAAGAATTATAATTCTTCAATGTTTTGAAAGATAGTGAAAGCATCTTTCCTTACCCTCACTGAGACTTCAGACATGTAACAGTTACAACCTAGTACGGCCTGGTGGTTAGGGCACTCGACTAGCAACTTGCGGGTCGCGGGTTCGAATCCCGTCACCTAACACGCTCGCTTTATCAGCCACATGGGTGTAATAATGTGACAACCAATCCCACTTTCGTTGGTAAAGACTAGACCAAGAGTTAGCGAAGGTGGTATTGACTAGTTTGCTTTCCCTCTAGTCTATCACTTTTAAATTAGGGCTGGTTAGAAGAGGTGGTTCTCGAGTAGCTTTGCGTGAAATTCAGCAAACAAACTTAAAAGTAACATAGGTGAAGCTACATTTCACTCACTCTTTTATATGAAAATTTAAAACTTGAAATTAACACTTGAAATTTAATCATATCGATGCACACTGCCTTCAATATAGTTTCAAATGAAGCGTATCAGAAATCTAGCTTAATTACTTCAGATTTTTTCCCATATTTACATAAATTGTTCCTTTCTTAATTTTGTTAATTTACCTATTTTTTTTTCTTAGATCTGGAACTTTTGTGAATGCGGCGTGTGAAACTCACGTGCTTCTAGAACCCCAGCACACATTAGAAAAACAACAACAACAAACAAACAGAAAACAACTTGCGGAATGAAACAAGACTTCATCGACAGGTCTTATCTGAATGCACAAGAGGACCTCAGAATTTCTTCTGTGAAGGATGGACCCGTTTGTGTTCTTAATGACTCAATTTCTGAATTAGGATTCGACAAAACACTGGAGTCTCAAAATGATAAGTTTCAAACCAATAAACAGAAACACGCCGGAGACAACTTGATAACGAACTGTCTCGAGCAGGACTATGACGTCACAAAAACAGTCTTTATGGCCAATAGCGAAATCCTGGAGACACAAGAAGAAGCTGCGAAAGTAACCGAGTGCCTTCAGCGATACCCAGTTGTTTTGTTAACGCGTTTGGATACTGAAAATTTTGGACAGTTATTTTTCGATAAAATCTGCATGAACTGTGTGGAAATAAATAATAATAACAGCGCGAAAACTACAGAAAACTTTCAAACTTCGTCTCCAGACAAGATACGCTTTTCCGAGAATGTAACGAACGATTCTCATACATTTTTACCTCAAAAGATTAAAATGGAAATGATTTCAGAAAATGCACTGAACACAACTGATACAAATGACATTGATCCAGTTTGTTCACCAGCTTCGTCAATGGATGAGAACGACGACCAGGCATTACCTTTAGTTATTTCAGAGGTACGATGGAACGCTAAAGATATTTTTTATGACAATACACCAATAAAGGATAATCAATCGGATAACGCAAATTATTTCAATTCAAATATTGTAGACAGCAACATTGTTGAACCCTTCTTCTCACTGTTAGAAGCAATTGAAAGTAATAACCACACATCAAGTAAAGTTTCCCAGAGTTCACCTTCTACAAAAACCGCCAGTGTACCAACTAGTACAATGCCATTAGAAGGCTCTCTACCTAGTGAAAACGTTCCAATGCCAGAGACAGGCTGTTCAGTGGACAAAGTTTCTGACTCAGATTTCCAATTCAAAGATCAAATATATGAAAGTTCTGTGGCAAAGGATAACAATTCAGAGAACTCTGATCAACGCCTATCACCAAAACTCAGTGGTAAAAAAGACCTGAGAAATAGACGAAAATGTCAGCGAGTAGTGAATTACTCTGACGATTCTTCATTAGACTGTTTACTTGACAGCATGGACAAAGCGCACAAAAAGAACCGCAGAAATAAATCGAAACATATGCCGCCATTAATGAAAGAAATCAGAAAAAAAGCAACAGCGTATTCTAAGTGTAGAAAACGCGCAGAATTAGGCAATTCGAGTGGAAAAAACTTGGATACTGGAAATAAAGTTTCTCAGAAAAGAACGAATTCTGTTTTGGAATCACTTACCACTTACGAGAATAATTTGCATGAAAACGCAGTTAAACCTATTAAAATTTTATTTTCTGATACAAATGCTGAAGTAAATCCTGATAAAACGTCTAAAAGAAAAAGTGAAGACAAAGGAGATCTTAAAGACACTGAACTATCATCCAGTATCATGAAGTCCGAAAAAAAAGCATCACGTATGAGAGCAGTGTTTCAAAAGTTAGAAAAAGAAATCAGTTTTTCTTTGACAGCAACGCCCTCACACAAGAAAACTCTCCCAAGCGATGAGGAATCTATTGATTGTATAAAAGTAGTATCTAGCCTAAAAGAAACTAAGCCCCAGTCAACATCACCGGTTCCTTCTCATATGAAACAGAGAGACAAAAGGTTTTCTGTTGATTCTCATTATCTCCAGAAGAGACCTTCTCCAGGTTTACGAAGAGAAGAAAAACACCGCAAAAGAGGAAATAAAGTACCTTCTCATTGCTCATCTCCAGGTAAGACATTACATTTTTTTAACAAACAAGGTATACATATAACCAGGTAGCCTACAACAGTTACTTTGGAAGCTATATATCAAAACATGGCAATACTTACATAGATATGTAAAACTTAAAATTCAGAAGAATTTGGCTTTTCTTTTAGCTAACCAGTTTGCATTCTATGAGAACAATTTTTTTAGTTCTCCTTGGAATTACACCATCTTTGATTGTACTCAGAATGTCTGCCATAATTAGTAGCATTATTGTCGAAACTGTAGTTGCGACAGTTCCAGGTTACGAAACAAAATGGCGAAGTCAGTCTTAGATCATCTACCTTGACAAACGTCCCATAGATACTGCAGTATACATAGATGCTGAGTTTTAAGGTCACGTTTAAGACTTAAAAGTATATTGCAGTTGCACCAAATGAGGCGCTACAATTCCAGTTTCTTCGACCATTTTTCTTGTGATAACAGCTGTTGATTTCAAGAAGTTTCTGGAATCTTGTGAAATTTTGACTTGTGAGCCTTCTTCAACTTCAAATTTTTGTTTATTATGTTGTTAAGGGTTACAGGAGATATACCCAGCTTTATCACTACAGCTGTCTTCGTCGAAGGGTTTTATGTTTTATTTTATAAACATAGCCTTGATTGCACGGAGGACTTACTCTGAGTTGTATTTCTGTGGGGCTTAGTATTCCATTATTGCCATAAAACATTCAAATTCTTCTTCTTGAAACGTTGTGCATTTGGCTATATATCATTTGCCGTTGTCACTGTGTAAACGTTTCTCTAGTTAATTTATACACAAATTTGATTAACTTCACGTGAGTACAAGTTAATTAATAGATTTCTGGAACGCTACTGTTATGCTGTCGAAGGTCAGTCCTTGTATACAATTTATTTATGTGACAAGTTTCTGGATGACTGCGAAAAACCAAGTTAAAAGCATAAACAGTATCTGATAACAAATCAATAATGGGATCTATTCTTCCGTGAAAAGCAAATACATGAAAGTTACATCTTAGTTTTGATTCAAGATTGAGTTTGAGCTTTGAATTTTCTGTCATTTCAATTTTGTTTTCGATGCTAATTGAATAAATAAGTGAAATCGCACAATATGGTGAAAATCCTAAGCAAAAACTAATTTGAAAATCTCGGGTTATTTTTAAATTAAAACAATAATCACACCAAACATAAACCTGAAAGTACTCCTCATTTATAGAACACACACCAAACATAAACCTGAAAGTACTCCTCATTTATAGAACACACACCAAACATAAACCTGAAAGTACTCCTCATTTATAGAACACACACCAAACATAAACCTGAAAGTACTCCTCATTTATAGAACACACATCAAATTAAAACCTGAAAGTACTTCTCATTTATAGGACACACACCAAACTGAAACCTGAAAGTACTTCTCATTTACAAAATACACACCAAACTGAAATCTGAAAGTAGTTCTCATTTATAGAACACACACCAAACTGAAACCTGAAAGTACTTCTCATTCATAGAACACACACCAAACTGAAACCTGAAAGTACTTCTCATTTATAGAACACACACCAAACTGAAATCTGAAAGTACTTCTCATTTATAGAACACACACCAAGCTGAAATCTGAAAGTACTTCTCATTTATAGAACACACACCAAACTGAAATCTGAAAGTAGTTCTCATTTATAGAACACACACCAAACTGAAACCTGAAAGTACTTCTCATTTATAGAACACACACCAAACTGAAATCTGAAAGTAGTTCTCATTTATAGAACACACACCAAACTGAAACCTGAAAGTACTTCTCATTTATAGAACACACACCAAACTGAAATCTGAAAGTAGTTCTCATTTATA